TATTTATTTATTTAGTCATTCATTCTCTCATCTAGGTGGGTGGTTTACAATGGTGGTTGACATTCTGTGATCTCAGTGGCTGGGCTTTATCATCTTAATAAGATCAAAAATATTAGGCATTTACAAAAGTTGTATAGTAAAACAATGTAAAATGTAAAATTTAATAAATATTGAGTAGGAGTTTTGATAAAATTTCAAACTCCTATTGTGATTGTCAGAGCTACGTTATAAGCATACTCGGCATGCAGAGTTAAGGTGCATCACAAGAAAAGAAATCCTGTAGTTCCAGTAGTTCTGTTCCTTCCAAAAACTGATAATGAACTTCAATTTTTAAAATATAGATACTGTACTCCTCACTTGTTTAGTGACCGTTCGAAGTTGCAATGGCAGTGAAAAAAGTGACTTAGGATTGGTTTTCACACTTACAACTGTTGCAGCATTTGCAAGGTCACATGATCAAAATTCAGGTACTTGGCAACTGGCATGCATTATGACACTATCTCGAAGACATGGGATCATAATATGGCTTCCAACAAGCAAAGCCAGTGGAGGAAGTCAGATTCGCATATTCACTTCACAACCGCCTTGCTTAGCAGCAGAAATTTTGTGTTGCAGTGTGGTGGTAGTTTGGAACTACCTCTGAAGCATTGATCAAATATTGCCCAGTAGAAATGAGCATCCGCTTTTTGAAATGCAGGTGTGCTGTTTGATAAAAGGAGATTGTTGATACCACATAACGAGTTTTTCAAATCTAGATGCTTATAGTGGTAAAACCAAGAAGATTATGTTGACTTGGGGAAATGCTGGAACTTATGGAAAAAATGTGGCTTCTTGAATCTGAATTATACTGAGAATCCTGTTTTTGTCTTCAGTGTTGTTTAGAGGTTCGATATTGGGCTGCTTTTTTCCTTTCATAATTTTTGTCTCTTTCCTTCTATTAAAATTGTGCACACCATTCTTTTTTCTTTCAGAGTCTTAAGCCATCACCCCATCTATTCACCCAGCTGAGCAAAGTGATCAAATTAAGCAAAGTTCAAGAGGTGGGCTTACTGTTCTATTCTTATGCGCTCAGCATCTTGGGGTTGTGTGTATGTGTGGGGCAGCATCCACATCTTGATGGAATCATAGAAATGCCCCAGCTAGTATGCTTCTCTTAGCTTTGAGAAATAAGTAGGAGACAATCACCAGCAGATCCTTCACTTTTACCCTCTACTTCCTGACTGGCTGTAATATTTGTTATTATTGTACTTCAGAATGCCAGGAGCATCACCAGCATAATCTTGATCCGCTGGATGGATGGTGGGATCTATTGGGCATATTGGGGAGGGCTGCAAAAGTGGGGCATAGAGCATCAGTATTCAGTCTTGGGGTTTCCCTTTGATCTGTCTGGTTGCCAACCCCAGTTTGTCATTAGTGGGACGGAAGCGGTAAAGTCTCCCGATCCAGGCTCTTGCTCAATGCAGGAATTCAAATCAAAGTGTCCCAAGCAGAAGACATGCAGTAATGGGAGTTCATCCCCTTTCTGGTTCCACTATCAGATTGTTCTTACGATTCAGGATTTTTCCAAAACTTAATTGGAATCTCTCTTTGCAACATTAAACCCATTACTCTATGCATTCTGATTTGATACAGAATTGCCCATGTTTCTCTTCTGTGTTAAATTATTTCAGGAATTTTAGTAGTGCTATCATTCTTAAGAGTAAGCATACCCAGGTTTGATGGTACTGAATTATAATAAAATAACTTTTAACTTCTCTTTATTAATAGGTTATTTTTGGTCTTGCTTTGTTGAACTCTTTCAATCCTGATCTACAAGTTTTTGGTAAGATAAATAATAACTGGGTAGGAAGCTTCTTCCTGAATTTTTTAACATAATGGTTTTGTTTTCACAACATTCCAGTACTTAGCCATTATTGTAGTTCACCATTTTTATATTCACATAATATAGAGAACATACTAAACCACAAAAATAATTAAATCTAACCCTAACATGTTATGTATATACAACCACAGGATATTTGTCAATGCCATTTTATCCTTGTATCTGTAGGAAGTGAAATGTGGAATTTTAGAAATCTGTACTGATACAGTGTTTCTCCGAAAACACAACCCACCCTAATAATAAGCCCAATCCTAATTTTTTTGGGGGTGGGTCTAATATTACCCCTACCCCAAAAATAAGCCCGAAGGAATGGGCATAGCCAGCACAAGTGGCAGCACGGGTGCGGGGGACAACTGTCCAGTTGCAGATGCAGCCTGCTGGCCACTTGGGGCAGCGCAAATACTGCTTTTGCCCTTCTCATTTCTTTCTGAGTGCAGCATTTCTGCTTGTTGGGCTGCTTCCCCGAAGCTGGCAGCTCCACAGCTTTCCTTTTTCCCTATTTTTGGGAGGCTTGCGGGAGGCTTGCATGGCAGCACCAGCATGGGTTAGGCAGACAATCCAGATGCCCCATGCTGGTGTTTGTTGCAGGCAAGCCAAGAGACAGTGGGACAGAGGGGCCGATGCATTGGGATCGCCTCTACCTCCCCCATGCATCTGCCTCCATCTGCTGCTGTGCCACCACACAAGCCTCCCATGAGGAAAAAGCAAAGCGGCTGGCTGCAGAGCTGCCGGCTTCAGGAAGTGGCCCAACAGGCAGAAGCACCTGGCCCAGAAAGAGATGGGCAAAAGTCATTCTGCACTGAAGCAGAGGCATTCCAAGCCTTCAGCGTATCCCAGGATCCTGGGATACGCTATAGGCTCGGAGTGGAGCCATTTTCACAAAAGGCAGGAAAATGGGGAAAGGGATTTTCCTGCCTGTAATCCATTCCCCAAGATCAGTACAGACTAAGGCAGGGGTGGGCAATTGTGGCTCTTTTACAACCTGTGGACTTCAACTCCCAGAATTCCTGAGATACCTGTCTCAGGAATTCTGGGAGTTGAAGTCCACAGGTTGTAAAAGAGCCACAATTGCCCACCCCTGGACTAAGGGAAGGATGGAATGAGCCTTGATGGTGCAGCAGACTAAAGCACTGTTAAGTAACATCAGCTGCCTGCAATTACTGCAAGTTCAAATCTCACCAGGCTCAAGGTTGACTCCGCCTTCCATCCTTTCGAGGTAGGTAAAATGAGGACCCGGTTTGTGGGGGTAATAAGCTGACTTTGTATAAAAAAGAACACCGCTGGGGGGGTGGGAGCGAAAGCCCTACTAAGCAGGTATATACAAAAGTATGAAGGCTATTGCTTAACGTATTGTAAGCCGCCCTCAGTCTCCGGAAAATGGTGGCATATAAATCGAACCAATAAATAAATAAATGGTAGGCAGGAAAATTCCCCTCCCCATTTTCCTACCATTCGCAAAAAAGGCTCCATTCCGAACCTTCAGCGTATCCTAGGACCCTGCAAGGCTTGTAGCATTGCGCATGCGAGCAGCAACATTGCCATGAGGTTCATCACATCGGCATAGCCTCTTCGAGCAGGACCCTACAAGAATTGCTGTGCCGTTCAATGGTGGGATTCAAATTTTTTTACTACCAGTTCTGTGAGTGTGGCTTGGTGGGAATGGCTGGTTGGGCATGTGATTGGGTGGGCATGGCCAACTCAACATCACTCACGTCAAGGAACCCCTCCCCTGGCCCCTCCCCTCCCAGTCACTCCCTGTGCTGGCCTCAACATATCTATAGTTCTGTAAAAATGTTGTTCACCTTTTCTTACCTTTATTATCTGCATCTACATACTATAGATGTACTTTCATGGACCACTGAAAGGAGGAAATGGCTCACATGCTTTGCCCAAGAGTGTGATAGGCAGGTCACAAAACAGGCTTTTGAGGAGCTGCCACAAAGAAGGGTGAGGCAATATATTTTCCAAAGACGCAGAAGGCATAACAAGAAGCAATAGATGGAAACTGAACAAAGAGAGAAGCAACCTAAAACTAAGGAGAAACTTCCTGACAGTGAGAACAATTAACCAGTGGAATTACTTGTCTCCAGATGTTCTGGGTGCTTTTATCACTGGAAATTTTTAAGAAAAGACTGGATAGCCATTTCTCTGAAATGGTTTAGGTTAGGGTCCCCCCCCAAAGTCCCTTCTAAGTGTTATTCTGTTATTCTGACACATTTCCTAGGCCCTCCACTCAGATTTTGGCATCCTCAGTTTTCCTGCCTGAGCAGGGGGTTGGACTAGAAGGCCTCCAAAGCCCCTTTAACTCTGTTATTCCATTATTCCTGAGCTAAATAGCTAAGACCCTCATTGGGGCCCTATCTCTTTTGCTCCAGAGTAGTGAGTTAAAGAGCTGCCTCTAGACATTCATTTTAATAAAATTTTTAGAAACTTGCAGTTGAAAGTTCATCTCTCCTTATCCTGAAGACCCAATTTCATTTGGAATTTAATCCTAAAATGATTGCCCTTTTAGCATTTCTCTTGATACTTCTCCAAAATGCATTCCCAAGAAGCCACATCTCTCCCTCCCCCCCCCACACACAATTTAAGCAAATTCCCTTGTTTTGGGGACTTTAGAATAAGAAGATACCTTGGGGGTCTTGTAGTTCAACCTTCTGCTCAAGGAGACTGGTTTAGCTCAACAGACAGAAGCACTGTAATTTAACACCAGCTGTCTGCAATTAAAGTAAGATCGAATCTCGCCAGGCTCAAGGTTGACTCAGCCTTCCATCCTTTCTAAGGTAGGTAAATTGAGGACCCAGTTTGTGGGGGCAATAAGCTGACTTTGTATAAATATACAAAAGTATGAAGGCTATTGCTTAACGCACTGTAAGCCGCCCTGAGTCTCCGGAGAAGGGCGGCATATAAATCAAATATTAAAAATATTATTATTAAGGCAGAAGACCTCATATATACGCAAGTTCACAGACATCCCGGCTTTGGCTGCAAGAACTGCAGACAGCCTTCCTCACCACACACTTCCTCCTCCCGCCGCACCATGCAAAGCGGGAGGCCCGAGAGAAAGCGTCCCAGATAGCCCTTCATGACAGCCCTTCCCGGGGAGCAAAGCAAGACTTACTGATGGTGAGTTCCAGAGTGGCGGCAGTAGTGGCGGCGGAAGGAGAGCTCCAGAATGGCGACAGCGGCACTCCGGGAGGGCATCCCTCGGGGCCCTGGGAAAGCATTTGGCGCAGCACAGCGAAATTTAGCAGCCATGAGCTGCGCTTTCCTCTAAGTCTTATCCAGAAAGGGCTGCGAGCAGCAGAGGGAAACAGGTATCTCTCTCTGCACAGCGCTTTCCGGATGAGACTTAGAGGAAAGCGCAGCTCATGGCTGCTGAATTTTGCTGTGCTGTGCCAAATGCTTTCCCAGCAAGAACAGCGAAGGAGAGAACGCTGACCCAGAGAACACATGGAGCCGCTTCATGTGCTCTCCACTGGCTGTTTCTCTCCTTCGCTGTTTTTGCTGGGAAAGTTCTTTGTGCAGCACAGCGAAATTTATCAGCCATGAGCCGCACTTTCCTCTAATCTGGAAAGAGCTGTTGGCGGCAGAGGGAAACAGGTGCTTCTCTCTGCACAGCACTTTCCAGATGAGACTTAGAGGAAAGCATGGCTCGTGGCTGCTAAATTTCGCTGTGCTGAGCCAAACAGTTTCCCAGCAAGAGCAGCAAAGGAGAGATCTGACCCGGAGAACACATGGAGCCGCTCCATGTGCTCTCCGAGTCAGCAGCTGTTTCTCTCCTTCTCTCCCTCACGGCCCTGGGAAGCACACAGAAATTTACTTTAGCAACCAGGAGTTGCCGCTTTGGGTCCTCCTGCAACTCCCACTCCTATCCGGAAAATGCTGTGGGCGGCAGAGAGAAACAGGTTCCCTCTGCCTCCCACAACACTTTCCCGATGGGAGTGAAGTCAGACCCAAAACGAAACTTCGCTGTGCTGCAAGTGCAGTGGTGGAGAGAAGCAGCACCTGACCTGGAGAGCACATGGAGAGCTCGTTCCACATGTTCTCCGGTGATCTGTTTTCTCTCCCCTGTTGCTTTTGCTGTGAAGGCGTCTTGTGCAGCACAGCGAAATTTAGCTTTGGGTCCGACTTCACTCCCATCAGGAAAGTGCTGCAGGCAGCAGAGAGAAGCACCAAGCACTTGTTTCTGCCATCCACAACATTTTCTGGATGGGAGTGGGAGTTACAGGAGGACCCAAAGAGGCAACTCCAGGTTGCTAAAGTAAATTTCTCCAGCAAAAGCAGCAGGGTCGCCAGAGAACATGTGGAGCGGCTCCATGTGCTCTCTGGGTCAGCAGCTGCTGCTCTCTGCCACAGTGCTTTTTGGATGGTTCGGTAAGGTAAGTTCCAAATCGCTTCAGCCCACCTGCGCCCGTGCTGCCCCCCCCCAATGGCCATTCGGCCAAGCACAGCAGGCCACAGGCCGGGTAAATTACTTCGGGGGCGGGGAGGAACACTGAAGCCAGGGCAGGGTTCTCTAGGTGAGCATGGGCAGCGGGCCTGGCCACAGGGTGTTGGGGACCGCGGGGAAGGCAAGGAAGCATGGTGTAGTTGCGGGCCATGTAGAAGAGAGTAGGGGAAGTCACCGGGGACGGTGGGGGGGTAGCTAGCTAGGCCGCAGGTGGCAAAGCCAGCCAGGTGAGCTCCGGGGGGGGGGCTAGTGCAACTCGCAGGCTGTTGAGGTGCAACAGGCATGCACCACGTGGGAAGGCAGCGTAGGCAGGCAACTTAGAGCAGAGACAGTGTGCATGCGCAAGCGAGGACCCACACACAGTGAGGAGTGACGGGGCATGGCGGGGCAACCAGCAACTGGGCCGGGGCGTGGCGAGGCTAACCAAAGTGGCAGTTGAACTCCCCAACCTTCTGGTTGTGGGGGATTTCAATCTGCCATCGATCGGCGAGACATCTGAGGCAGTTCAGGAGTTCATGGCCTCCATGACGGCCATGGACCTGACTCAAGTGGTTCAGGGCCCAACGCATAGGGGAGGGCACACACTTGACCTGGTTTTTCTCTCTGAGCAGTGGATAAATGGCTGGGGTGGGGGGGAATTTTCCGTTGCCCCCCCTGTCATGGACCGACCATTCCCTCCTTAGACTGGACTTTCAACCCGCCAACCCTCGCCGCTGGGAGGCGGAACCAGTAAAATGGTTCCACCCCAGGCGCCCACCCTGAGAGGTTCCTGACGGAGCTTGGGACATTCCCCGCTTCCCAATCCTGCGACTCGGCCGAGGCGCTGGTGGCATCCTGGGAGCGGGCGGCTGCCGACGCCTTGGACCAGATCGCACTTTTGCGGCCTCTGACCCGACGCAGATCCCGGGTGGCTCCTTGGTTCTCCATGGAGCTCCGGGAAATGAAGCATCGGAAAAGACGCCTAGAGGAGTGTTGGAGGTCCTCCCGGTCTGAATCTGATCAAACACAGTTAAGAACCCATATTAGGTCTTATCTTGTGGGAATGGAAGTGACGAGGCGAGATCACTTCGCCGCTCTCATTGCATCTGCAGAAAACCGCCCAGCGGCCCTGTTTAGAGTAACCCGCTCGCTCCTTAATCGGGAGCGAGCGAAGATCTCTTACAGGGCAGAGCTGAGGATTTTGTACAGTTTCTACAAGATAAAATCGCTCAGATCCGGATTGGATTGGACTCTGGGCAGAATCCATCCAGGAGACTGGGGTATGTCTTGGGAGTAGTATCTGGGTTGAGTTTGACCCTCTTTCCGTTGATGAAGTGGACAGGATTGTGGGTAGACTGGGTGCCTCCATGTGTTTGTTGGATCCGTGTCCCTCCTGGCTTGTTTGGGCAGCCCCGGAGGTGACGGGAGACTGGATCCAGGCTATAGTCAACTCTTCTTTGAGGGAGGGGGTCTTCCCCGCCTCTCTTAAGGAGGTGGTGGTTCGACCCTCTCAAGAAGCCTGCCCTGGATCCAGACTCACTTAATAACTATCGGCCCATCTCCAACCTTCGCTTTATAGCGAAGGTTGTTGAGACCGTGGTGGCGCAACAGCTCCCACAGTTCCTGGAGGAAACGGAGTATCTTGACCCGTACCAGTCGGAGTTCCGGCATGGGCACAGCACAGAAACGGCATTGGTCGCTCTGGCGGGCCCGGGATGGAGGTTGTTCCTCCATCCTGGTCCTACTTGACCTCTCAGCAGCTTTCGATACCATCGACCATGGTATCTTACTGCAGCGACTTGGGGGGTTGGGGGTAGGAGGCACTGTCTTACAGTGGTTCTCCTACCTCTCAGGTCGCTCGCAGTTTGTATGGGCGGGGGGGGAGAGGTCTACCCCGAGGCCCCTAACGTGTGGGGTGCCTCAGGGGTCAGTTCTCTCCCCCTACTCTTTAACATCTATATGAAGCCTCTAGGTGAGATCATTCGTAGTTTTGGGGTGAGGTATCAATATGCTGATGATATTCAGTTATACATCTCCACCCCGGACCACCCCGGGTATGCCCTTTCCGTGATGTCCTGATGCCTGGAGGCAGTGCGGGCCTGGATGGGTAGAAACAGGCTCAGACTCAAACCCTCCAAGACTGAATGGCTGTGGATGCCGGCACCTCATGTTCTAGAGGTCCCATCACTTTTGATGTGGGGGGGGGGAAAGGTTCTTGCTCCCGTTGAAAGGGCTCGCAACTTGGGTGTCCTCCTGGATTTCCGGCTGTCTCTGGAAGATCGTCTGACGGCCATGACCAGGGGGGCTTTCGCACAGGTTCGCCTGGTGCGCCAGTTGCGCCCTTTCCTGGACCGAGATGCCCTTCACACGGTCACTCATGCCCTGGTTATTTCTCGCTTGGATTACTGCAACTCTCTCTACATGGGGCTACCCTTGAGGTGCATCCGGAGGCTCCAGCTGGTCCAGAATGCGGCCGCGCAGGTTGTTATGGGAGCTCCCCGTTACTCCCGTGCGAGCTGCACTGGTTACCAGTGGTCCTCCGGATCCGCTTCAAGGTGCTGGTACTTACCTATAAAGCCCTACATGGCTTAGGTCCAGGGTACTTGCAGGACCATCTCCTGCCCGCCTCCCACCGTCTTATCCACTCACATAAGGCTGCCCTCCTCAGGATACCGTCGGCTGGCGACGTCCAGGGGTAGGGCGTTCTCTATGGGTGCTCCTACCCTCTGGAATGAGTTACCCACCGAGCTCTGGACAGCGCCTGATCTCCGCTCCTTCCGTCAAGGCCTAAAGACTTGGCTATGTCAACAAATGGGCTGAGTTTTGATTCTGGGGTTTTATTACTTATTATTTTGATTTTAATTGGTTTTAATTAGATTCTTCTTTTATCATTGTATATTTTTAGCTTCTGTTCGCCACCCTGAGTCCTTTGGGAGAAAGGCGGCATATAAATATGTGTTAAATAAATAAATAAATAAATAAATAACCAGAGGTGGTATTTACCGGTTAGGTGAACCAATCCAAATTTCAGCTACCAGTTCACCTGAACTGGTCCGAACTGGCTGAATACCACCTCTGGTGCCATTGCTTGCGTGAGCGGCAGCATCGCCATGAGTTTGGACTCACTGGTGTAGTCGCTCATGGCAGGATGCCAGCTGCATCAATGTGATGAAGCTCATGGAGGTGCTGCCATTCATGTGAGCAACGCCACAACAAGCCTTGCAGGGTCCTGCTCCAAGAGGCTGCGCCAGTATGACAAACCTCAAGGCGTTGCCGCCGCTCCTGCACACGTCTCACTCGAGTTGCAAACAGCCCCGGGATTTTTGCGGCCTTTATGTGCCTGGGATGCCTGCAGGATCCCTGGCTTCTGAGCCTGGCGAGGCCCAGTGTGTTCTTCTCCCTGGCGGCGATGGTGTGTCCACGGCACGTCCAGCTCACCGAGTCTGGCCTGCACCTCAAAAAAAGTAAGACTTCGGAAATAAGCCCAAGTGTTTATTTTCAAGTCTAAAAGAAAATAAGACTCGGTCTTATTTTCTGAGAAACATATAGCTGAGCAACATCTGTAGCTCAGATGCTGATTTGCACAAAAAAAATCTCTTCCTCAAGGCTTGCTGAGATACAAGATTAATAGGAAAGCATTTAGTAGCTCACTATTCCTATGCATATCCTGTTTTATCTCTAGTATGTGTTTCTATAATAATATAATGTCTGTACTGGTAGTCCTCAGCTAACAAAGGCAATTGAAACTGGACATAAAGCATGAGGTTATGTGATGATGCTTAGTAATGCTAATTGGCTGTTGCCATCATTAACCAAATTATTGTGGGTTATTGAGCGAGGAGTTCACATGATTGCCACTTGTGATCTCTTGTTAGTATCCCCATTGATTTTGCTTGTCAG